CAAAGCCCCAGTAGATAGTTGTATGTCACAGCTGCACATCCTTCTAGTTGCTGTATGTGGGACTCGGCCTCAGGATGGACGGAGAAGTGGTGCCTCAATGCGCACCCGGGATCCGAACCCGGGCCGCCAGCATTGCAGCGCGCGCACTTAACCACCAAGCCACAGGGCCGGCCCTGGTCTACCATCTTGATATATTTCACAGTCCTGCTTTCGCCACTATGTCTAAAGCAGTGGTTCGCAATTAGGGGTGATTTTGCCCCCAGCATCCCCAGTGGACCTTTGGCAATGTCTGGAGACATATTTAGTTGTCACAATGGAAGGAGGGGGGAGGCTACTAGCATTTAGTGAGCAGAAGCTAGGAAGGTTACTAAATGTCCTCCAACACCCAGGACAACCTCTCACAACAAAGAGCAAAGCTCTGAAAGCCTTTCCATCAGTTTCCATGGATCATCACCAAACTGATCTTAAAACACTGTTGGAAATAGGGTTGCCCTAGAAACAGATAAAATAGAGGATGCTTCGAATTTCAGACAAACAACAAATAATAGTTTAGTATAAGCATGTCCCAAATATTCATGTGACACACTTATGCTACAAAATTGACTCCTCGCTTGTCTGAAATTCAAATTGAGCTGGTTGTCCTATATTTCTACTTGCTAAGTCTAGCAGCTCTCATTCAAAAGACCCCGCATTTTGAGAAGGAATCTATGGAAATGATGATCCTTTAGCTCCCTCCCTGCCTCCAAGAGAGGAGGAGTTGTTTATCTCGTGGTCCAGAGGCCAGGACATTCGTTGGGCCACATTTTACAGTGTGATGTGATTTAGGTCGAGGGAGCCCGGCTTAAAGATCAGCTCGGAAGCAGAACACTCTCATTTTCCCTTCTGCCCCAGGGCCTATTGCCTTGCACCAAGTTGGCTACAGCTCCTTCTCTCTGCTTCACCTCTCTGTTGGCACTGAGGAGTCCCCTCAGCCAAGGGCTACCTTGATTCAAGGGGTAGGAAGCAGAAGTCCTCACTTAAGCCTTGACATCTAAACCACATTTTCTGATTCAGTCTTGGCCAGAAAGGCCCATCTTGATTGTGCTTGCACTGCTAGAAGTGAGCATTTTCCCTTATCTAGCTATTTTCCTTTCCATAAAACGCTCTCTGTCAAAGCTCTGTAGGGAAAAGGGGTGGGTGGGTGGGTAAGACCGAGGCATTTCTTGGACCTGGATTGCAATACCATCTACTAACACCCAACTTCACCATGTACTCTTATTACCTAGTTAGGAGTGGACCAGAGAACCCCACATGTACCCTTTACTACATTATTCTTATTTATTTTACAGATGAGAAAAATATCAAGTAGAAAATATTTGATTAAGTGCTTTACATACATTATTGCAATTCTCTAAACAGCTTTATGAAATAGGTTCTATTATTATTCCCCTTTTCCTAGGGGAATTAGAGACAAAGAAATTAAACAACTTGCAAAAGGTCACACACCAAATAAGCAATTGTCACAAGGTTTGAACCCAGGTCTGTTCATTCCAAAGCCCGTGCTTTTAATCACTAAGTCTAAAAGTTGTACGTATGAAAAATGATCAAATCAAGATAAAGTTCAAGTATTCATTTCTAAAGCAAAAGCAATCAGAAAAATATAATGACTATATTCAAAGAAAACCATCTGCTGATAGTAAATGTTTTAAAAGTTGTTATCCTGTGCAATGATTAGAATTTGAAACATCTTCAAAATGCTTTTAAGATATGTACCCAATAAGTAATAAATGCAAAGTCAATGTATTGCAATTTAATCTTTATGTCAGTAGCTTTGCCCCATTCATCTGTGGTTATGAAGGCTTACCTTTTAGTGTTCCATTTTAGCAAAGCAACTTTGATCTCTGCCTCAAAAGTCCATCCTGCATACAGCACCCAGGCCAGCCCCTCATCAGCATTCCACGAGAGGTTGTAGGAGCATAAATTTTTTTTAATCAGTCAACAACACTACAGTCAACGAAATGCATTCTGATACTTAGACCTTTTATCTCAAAAGCTATGTAGAAACCAAGGTCACGGTAACCTCTTTTATGGTTTATTGTTCCTCAAATGTAC